TAGATGATTGAAAAATGGCTTGTGGTTGAGTTTTTGAATAAGCTGGCGCTACCCAATATGGTTCTTGTTCACATTTTTCTTGATAACTAAGTAAAATAGCACGAGAATCTTCTTTTTGAGCTGGTGGTTTTTGTAAAGCAATATTCTTAACAATATATGATGATAATGTACCACCATGTACACCAATACGACCACCAGAACCAGCACCACTCACAGGTAAATCTGGTCGTTTTGATTTCACCTAAACAAGACAAATTTATTTTACATATACATTTAGATTATTAGATATTTCATATTAATTATCAATTGTTATAAGTATGATAATACTGTGAAAGTTTGATACAATTTCTAAAGTTTTTTATATCAGTTTTTATTCCGTTTAGAAATTCTCATCTAGTCCTTATTTGAAACAAGAAGAATACTTTATTCGTGTGATATGAAATATTACCTAGCTGAAAATTTAATAGTCCGATATTTTCTCTACAACTAATACTAGTTATAGCTCTGAATAGAAGGCTGGTCTGAAGCAGAATTCTTGCACTCTCCATACACACTAATTAATTGCAAGAATAGATGTATGTGTCCCAGGGGAACAAACTGATTTCAATAGTTGAAATCATGAGAAATTACACGTAGAGATGTAACAATACAATACAATAATGAGGTATTGTTATTGAGTAGGGATGTACAGCTTACCCTTTACTTTATTCCAATATGAATGCAACAAGAGGCTGCTAAGGTCATATGAAAGGGGACTCCGGATAACCCCATGATCGGCCCAGACAACATTATGTTTAGTCTTTATAAGAGAGAAAAAGCTTTGCTGAAATCTGATTGATTGATAGGCTTTTGGTATTGACCGATCAGATTTTAGTAGCGGTTTTTTCTTTTCTCGTCAGGACAAAACATATTGTTGTTCGGGTCGATTATGGAGTGATCCGGGACCCTCTTTCATATGGCCCTAACAACTCCTTGATGCATTCATATTGGAGTAAAGAAAAGGATGAGCTGTACATCCCTAAGCAATACCAATACTCCATTACGATATTGTATTCGTACATCTCTATCAGACGAAAGCCAAGGAAATCAGTTTGTTCCCCCTTGTATATGTCACAACGCTATCAGACAAATGGTTCGAGATAAATAGTCGTTAGTGACGTTCCCTAGCTGGCGGTATCGAGGTTTGCACACAGCACCAGACAGATATGTGTCGAACCAGAAATGAAATCGGTATTGGTGACCAGTATATCAACTGGCTCGGTCTGATCTGACCTATTCAGATGTGTACCGATCATCAAAACAATAGACCGATTCCATCTTTGTGTCAAACAATTCAGTCACTCAATCATGACTATTTCTTATTTTGAGTCTATTTGTTTATCTTTGTAAAAAACAAAAGAAAGATTTACATACTGGATCTTCACGATTTTTCATTCGTATAACAGATAAATTTCTAACTCGATCTTGTCTATATAACGGTAAAGCATGTGGATTAATAATATTCATATTAATAAAAAAATCATTTGCTTTTTTTTGTCGTTCTTCACGATTAGCAAATAATAAAGCACCTTGTTTTGAACGTATTGTATCATAAAATATTTTAATAATACCATTACTTGTTGTACACATAATTTGATTAAGTTTTGGATGCCATAATGTTTTAACAACACTTGCTGCGTCACTAACTTGTATTTGTCCTTCAGGTTGTGCAAGATTATTTCGATTAAAAAAATAAATTGCACCAACATTTGTTGAATCATTTATATTATCATTTGTTTTTTTACGTGTTGATGTACCAGTAATTAGAAAACGATCATCAGGTGAAAATGTTACATTTGTCATTGAAAATCGATTATGTAAATCATTATATTCAGAAAGTGATTTTTTAAAATTTCTTATATCCCATAATTTAAGTGTATGATCAGTTGAACGTGATGCTAAATTTCTTCCATCATATGACCAACATAATGATGTTATAGAGTTTTCTGGTTCATGTGCATGTCTTGATATAAATGTAACATTAACAAAAGGTCGACGTCGATCCCAAATTTGTATACTTCCATCATCACAACCAGCTGTTATTAAATATTCATTTTGTGTAACATGTGTATGATAAGTATTATATGTACATGTTGTTGTTGATGTTTTTTTACCTTGTTCAGATTTTGTTTTTATACATGAAGCATGTTCAGTACGACGTATTAATGACCATAAACGAACGGTACCATCATCAGAACATGTCATAAATTCCTATGAAAAAAAAATATTTGTAATTTCTTTTATTTTGAAAAATGAAAATTTTTACGTACATTTAAATCTTTTGGATTCCAACATGCACGATTTAATGTACTAACATGACCTTTAGTTTTTTGCATATCAATTAAATACATATCACCTCGAACACATTCATACATATTTTTTCCTAAAATAAATACAACAAGTTTGTCAGTACAGTTTATTTGGAACTAAAATGTAGAACACACATGTGTTCTTTAACCCCATTACACTAATACAAAATATGTAAAGTAAAAAATCTCTAGCAAACTATAATAGTATTTTTCCAAGGAAAATCAATCGCCACGGAAACGATCTGTCTTATTTATTTCTACATTTTGAAGAGAGTTTTTTTTCTCTTTTTGTTGATGCTCTATTTTTTGTTTACCTTGTTGCTTTTCATTATTGTGTCCCGTTTTTCTTAATTTAACATTGTAATTCTTCTAATCATTGATTTAACTGGAAAATAAATCTATTACATTATATCTACAGCAGATCTTAACACTAGGGAGCTGCATGTCTGCATTTTTGTAGACCCGGGTCCGACAAAAAAATAAAACTTTAGACCCGGATCCGAGTCTGAAAGGACCTGCTCTAGAATGATCTAACGAGGGAACCGCCCGAATTGATTCACCGCTTTTGAGCTCATATTTTGGGCTTATAGAAGGGATTTCTATTCTAGGATAACCCTAAAAGGGTTCGGACCCATAGACCTCCTCTACAGAGTTATAGCAATTTTATTTGAATTTTAGTCTATGGCACGATATGTACAAACAAATTGACTGACGATATTTCAATCTAAAATTTTGTCTACAGATAGGTCTACTTGTAATTAGAATGTTCTGAAAATTTCAGCTGAAAAGAATGTTTCATTCGCGAGATATTAAATTTTCAAAAATCATTTAGATCCTATAAAAGTTGCGAGATCCTCATATTTTATCGACATTCAATATCTCGCGAATGAAACATTCTTTTCAGCTGAAATTTTCAGGACATTCTAATTACAAATAGACCTATCGGTGAACAAAATTTCAGATTGAAACATCGTCAGTCAATTTATTTGCATATATCGTGCCATAGGCTAAAATTCAAGTCAAATTGCTATAATTCTGTAGAGAAGGTTTATAGACCCGAATCCTTGTAGGATTATTCTAGTTTAGAGATCCACTCTATATACTCAAAATATGAGCTCAAAAGCGGTGAATCAATTCGAACGGTTACCTCGTAAGTCTTGTTGTTAATACTGTCCAGCGCCTTTTTTCCCGTCACTAAAGAACTCTGGAAGAAGATTTTGACGCCTGTTACTCTCGTAAACATATCTAATGACTGCTTGACTTTTATCTCTCGTTGCTATGAGAAGGAAACAATTATTCTTAGATAAAGTTCTAATTCTTTATTTTACCATCTCGACTAATAACTTTTGCTTGACAACTACCACTTGCAATCAATAACATATCACTTCCAGGACTAAATTCAATAGAACGTAATTGATGAGATTCACATGGAGATATTGCTCGATAATATTTTAATGTTTTATCCATAGTTGGAAAATCCCACATTTTAAGTTCATAATCAAAACCACCAGATATTAAACGTTCACCATTTGAATCAATTGTTAAACATGAAACTGATTTTGTTCCATGTTTAAGATCAATTTCATGTGTTAAAGGAAAAAATGGTTGTTCATCATCATCAAGTCGATCATTGTCCTCTTCAACTGGCTAAAATTATAAAATAATTATTTTATTTAAGATGTTTATTATGATTGTATTTTGTTTATTGTAGTGTGAATCAATGTGTCTAATTTCAGTAATCTATTATGTAATTTCCTTGTTCGAAAAATCTAAACATGCCTCACATTCCGATATAAAACCAGAACGATAAGTACAGTGAACCAATACTACAAATCCTAAAATACACTTTTCCGTTTCTCTTTTGATTTCTTATTTTTGTGAGCTTTCCTCTGTCTCACCTTACGTCGAAAGATTTTGTGCAGGAATGGATTCGGTCTGAATTTTTCACGACCGGTAACGATCGGTCTACCGATCTCGTCTCTGGTATTAGGTACTACTACTAGTTCATTGTGAATGTGCATAAGTGTTGTACATTTTAGAACGAAGAGCGAATAAAATTTTCTTTTACCTTCGATGTATCTTCATCTTCATCATCACTACTAGTATCTTCATTATCATTAGTTGGTGCAGTAGCAAGATCAATTGATGGACCAAAATCATCATCATCATCACCATCATTTATATTGTTATTATTTGTTGAACTTTGTATTTTTTTCGAAGCTTCATCAGCTTTTATTTTCATTTCAGTGATACGTAATTCATTTTCTTCTTTAGTTTTTTCAATTTCATTTGTCCAATCAATGTTTGATCGTTCTTGTGCACCTAATCGTGCTTGATTCATCATTGCTTGTAAATCAAATGTACGTGCAGCTTTTTTAACTGGTACTGATGGCTCAGCCATGATTTTCTTCTTTATTAAAATCTAGAAAAAAAAAGACAAGCACAAAGAAAGAAGAAAACAAATAATTTTTAATGGTTTTACTTCTTTTTTCCAAACTACAAATGACAGAAACAAAATGTAGAAACAAAATGAACATCATGACAAGATAATAAAAGAACAAAAAAAAAAAAAAGGACCGGGCGTAATCAAAACAAGACGAGATTTGAATACATATACAAAAATCCAAATGATTATATATATATACATTTTTATTAAGATTCTTTTTTCGAAATATCCTGATTGATTTTAAGTTGTCGTGTTCCAGACTCAAATTCTTGCATGTTCTCTTCAAAATACGGATCATCATCAAATAACTCATCCATATCAAGTTCAAGATCAAGTTCATCATCTTCACCAATCGAAGGAATTTCCATCTAAAATAATTGTTTATTTTTTGATCAATAAAGAGTTGTTTTCTTTTTTTAAATGATTTTTTAATTACTTGTTGTCGAGAATTTTGAATATTATTTGCATCTCCCATACTTGTACTTGCCATTAAAGGAGGTGATAAAGTTGATGATGATGATGCTGGTGTCGTTGGTGATGAAGAATTCAGTGTTGTCATTGACGAACCAGTTGTTTTATTTAGAAATCTTACTGTTGGTGTTCGTATTGAATGAGATTGAGATTGATGACCTGTTAAACGTGATGTTAGACGAACAACAGGTGCTTTTATTTGATTATGATTTGTCGATTTTAGACGTTTATTTGAATGTGAACTAGTTGTAGATGATGATAATGAACGTTTTTGATTCTAAAATAAAATTTGTTTTTTTTTTCGTTTGACAATAATATTAAACTCTAACATATAATAAAGTTGCTTTGATTATAGACATAGAAAATAAAAAAAGATTTTAGCAAAATGTCTTATATATAATACGAGGAAAAATAACTCGGAAGTGTGTCAATCAACGAAGTGATATCTATGTGATCAATACTAGATTTAAAAACTTCTTCTACAAATTCAGATTCTTGATCTTTTTCTATTATTATAAATGGGTTAAACCGCAGATGAAGTAAAAAAATCATGTGATTCTATGAGAAACTATTAACTCTTGTTCCGAGTAAAATCTCTCATTAATTCTTCGTAATGAAAGAATCATTTCCTCCATTTCTGGAATTGTAAGAGATAAAACTGGCACCCTACTCGCCATCTTTTTCAGTCACAATAAGTCTCATAAAGCTGAAAATAATTTTACAAACACTGCACGCTATTTGGATGTATCATTTTTTCGGTTTCCTTGTATTGGAATAAGAACAGCAATACCATTGAAAAGGTCTTTTTTCAACCCAGTTACAAACTAGCGGTACATCATACTATGAAACGAAAAGAAATAAAAAGGAAGCAGTCTAAACACTTTTCAGTATTAGCAGACAAAAATGTTTCAGTTTGATCGGTTGAAAAACTTCGAGACGTAAAAGAAGGGAATCTTCTTAACCTTTGAAAATATCATTTTACAAACAATAATTGAGGAGAATCTTTTAGATTGATTATTAAATTTCGAATTAAACATATCGAGTGTCCAAGAAGTCATCTACCAAAGATGAAACTATCCATCTCTACTGTAGTTAAAGGAAGTTCAGTAGCTTTTTTTGTGGTAATAGAGAAGATTTCTAAGTTTTTCTTCATAATGTTAAAGTTCATAAATATTCCTGAAAACTATAACTTTTGGATCTAACACATTAGAAAATCCCTTTTTTTTCGCGAGTTTCGAAAAACAAAGGGCAGGATCTCCTACTGAATTGCTTCAATGTTTTTCGTTATTGTGGACTTTTCGTCATCCAAATATCACTCTCGTACTTCATAAATATTCAGAAGACACTTTTTTTAAAAATTAGAGTCATTAACTGGAAGTTCAATGACTGTAGAAACTGAAATTGTTCCAATTTCATCAAAATTTTTGATGAACTAGCAAATAGAGATATGCAGAGTTACTAGAGATGAACACGGGACCAAAAATAATTTTCTGATCCCGGTAAAAGATTTACGCAGTTTTATCAACTTCATTGTTAAAATAATGTTTGACTGCGCATTTTCTACAGAAATGTTTGCTCATTCAATCTATATATTTCATATCACAGGTCTTCTTTATAAATTAATGTAGCAAATATAATGACTGGGACCAGGCTGGTCCCGATCATTATTTGGCTAAATTAATTGATAACGGAGACTTGTGATATATTTTGAAATACATAGACTGAAAGATCAAACATTTCTGTATTAATAATGAAATTGGTGCAACAGCATGTAAATCTTTTACTGGGACAGAATTTTATTTTTGGTCACGTGCATATCTCTAAAAGTTACTCTACCTTATAGGATAGGGTAGAGTAGGATTAAAAAAAGTTTTCATAGTCAAGATACAGGATACAGGAAAAGCTTACCCTGCATATCTTTACTAGGAATGAATTTCTTTGAAGAAACGTACCAATCACTTTAGATTTTCTAAAAAATGTTATGGAAATATTTATGAAGTAAGATAAGAATACCTGGACGATGTAAAGTCCAGAATAACGAAAAATATTGAAGCTATTCAGCAGAAGACTCTGCCTTTTGTTTTTCAAAACTTGCAAAGAAAAGGATTTTCTTTTATATATTGAATCTGAAAGTCTTCTCTGTTACAACAGAAAAAACGGTCACTTGATTTGTTTTAATCCTAATGGAGATGTATAGTTTTATTTCTGTTAGGTGAATTTTCAGATATCCTACAGATCTTTAAAACGAAATAGAATCTCTCTTGTATTTTTTACATAATAAAATTTTACCAAATCTGATGAATTTAGATGATGTTGTTGTGGTTTTTGACTAGTTGATAATTTTTGTCGACTTTCATTTGCTATGATAAGAAAAAAAAAGAATATAATGAAGTTATAAAAATATTTATTTTGTTCTTTTTTTTAATTTTAATATATTGAAACATACATGTAGATGATCGTTGTTTTCCATGAATTAATTTTTTCATTTGTTCATTTCTTGTTCTCATATAAATTTTCATTTTATCTAATTTTTGTTTTAATTTTCCCGATAAAATATTAATTTGTTTATTTTCATCAAAATTTTTTTCATTCATAAATTGTTTTCGTTCATCTTCTAAACCTTTTATTTCAATTTTTGTTGTTATAAAATCAATTTGTAAATTAATTCGACGTTCATGTTTTTTTAATCCATCTAATTGTTGTTTTAATTTAACACGTTCATATTTAAAAGATTTTTTATTTTTATCTAATTGTATATTTTCTGTTAAATATTTTTCACAATTTTCAATTTGTTGTATAATATCAAGAATTTTTTTTGATGTTGTTTGTGTTTCTTTTTGTAAAAGTATAAGTACAGATGATGGATCACGATGATCATATATAACGGGATATGGAAGTTTTATTGTTGATTCTTTACGATTATTAAATGATAATTCTTTTGTTTCAAAACAATCTTTATTTGATGAATATAATTCATCTAAATCTATATTTGACGATGAACATAAATCTTTAGTTGTAGAAGTATTTTCAATTTGAAGAGAATCCGATGACATTCTATAACAGAAATATTTGTAATGTAATCAGTAGCTTTTAGGATTTTTCTATAAATCCCATTACACATCATATTTTCGAACGAAAAGTATTAAAGGCTGATAAGGAAACGTTGTCAATTAATAAATTATTTTTTGAATTCGGACTTCATGTATAAGGTAGACTCTCGTGAGATATGAAAAATCTCAAAAAGGATAAAGATAAAGCATTTTAGCCTCTGGCTTGGTTTATACGAACAAATGGAATGAAGGCGTTTCGATCTAAGATTTTGCCTACAGACAGGTCTGTTTGTCAGTATAATACTCTGGAAATGTCAGCTCAAAAGAATGTTTTCTTCCCGAGATATTAAAGGCGCAAAAAACTGAAAATTCTATCATCTTTCGTGGAATATGAGTGATTTTTTTCAGACTTTAATATTTTGGAAAGAAAACATTCTTTTGAGCTCAAATTTTCAGAACATTCTACTAATAAATAGATCTGTCTGTGGATAAAATATCAGGTCGAAATACCCTCATTCAATTTGTTCGTATATACCAAGTCAAAGGGCTAAAGTGTCTTTAACTTCGGATAGAAGGCCTAAGGAGATTTATTTTTTTGAGATTTTTCATATGTCACTAGAGTCTTAATTCAAAAGCAATTTATCAGTTGAAAACGTTCCTTCGGTGGAAATTACTTTAAAATAACTGATATATTGTCTTCTCATTAAGAATGTCTGTCGATGAGAGAGATGTCCATTGCGGCTGAAAACCTGCCGCTATCGTCTCAGGATGTTTCATCTGTAATCAATGAAATCCTATCAAATTCATGCAGTTTTTCAATATCCTCGAAAATAATGCTGCCGCTGCCGCGCCGTCATGAACATCACTGGTTGATGAGCAAATGCTAGTTTTTAATAAGATAGATCCTCTTCACGATGACTTTGATCCATTCATTTGAAAGTTTCCATGAGACGACAAGTCGGTTCTGAAATTGTTGAGTTCACAAAACTGAATCAAGTCGAATTAGCGCTACGACATGATCTTACGATCTCAAAGTGTGTTAATTACTACGATCTTGAATATGTATCACGAAAAAAAAAACTTTGTAAGTGTATATTTCCACTGAATACATTTTTCATAAGGGAAAGATAATGTATAATTTCAACAAATGTGAACCCATGGGAGTGTGTTGATGCTTGTGATTAGGATTTATTGTTGCAAGCATACATCTTAAATATCATAAAGAATAGTAACATTTCATAGAAGGCAATTACACTTTCGTCTAGAAATGTATTTTGTTTTGAAAGTGATTAATCAAAAACAAAATTAAACAAACATTTTATCTCAAAACTTTCGACCTACTCGTTATTTTTTCCATAATTTTTTTCCTCTAATATGCATTCATACATAAATCATCTATATCTCGAATTTTTTTTTAAAGATATGTTCTGAAGGCACAAAGAATTGTATAAGATCTATGACTTACTAAAATTAATTCAAAATTTGTTGTTCTATAGATTTATAAACTAAAACATAAAAAAAAATAGAATCTTAATTTATAATAAAAATTTCATTATGAATACTTACTTAATTTACTGTAGAAATGAAATCATAAAATAAAACCATTACGGCTGATATACATCTAGAAAAAAAATAGATGATTTAAGAATCTTTAAAAAAACAAATTCTTATTTAGAAAAACATTTCATTTTACTTATTGAAATTTTTATTCGGTTATTTTTAATACAATTTCAAAAAGCAAAAAAATTAATTTTTATAATATATATATATACACATATGCCTTGACTATTATTTGATATTAATAATAACTAATCAAATATGAATAGATGTCAGTTTAGTTTTAATCAACAACAAAAAAACAAAAAATTTAATATTATAAATTTTAAAAAGAAAAAAAAATAATAGAAAAAAATTTTTTTACTTTTAAATAATTTTCTATTTATTCTTTGTTCATGACGAATAACCAATAGAAACATACAATTATTAGTTTATTTATTCTATTCATTTTATTTCGTCATTCATATATTTCTTCAATTAGGAAAATATTGTGCTTGCATATATACATCAATATGTCAGCTATTCAAGAACGACCAGCTAAACGTCAACGTACAATTAAAACAGGTCATGATTTAGATACAGTTGATTTTGAAACAAGTGAAGATGTTGAAGTATGTCCAACATTTGATGCAATGAATTTAAATGAAAATCTTCTTCGTGGTATTTATTCATATGGTTTTGAAAAACCATCAGCTATTCAACAACGTAGTATACGCCCAATTGTTAAAGGACGTGATGTTATTGCACAAGCACAATCTGGTACAGGTAAAACAGCAACATTTTCAATTGCTATGTTACAAAAATTAGATACAAATATACGTGAAACACAAGCATTAGTTTTATCACCAACACGTGAATTAGCACAACAAATTCAAAAAGTTGTTTTAGCTATAGGTGATTTTATGAGTGTACAATGTCATGCTTGTATTGGTGGAACAAGTACAGGTGAAGATATGCGTAAACTTGATTATGGACAACATATCGTTAGTGGTACACCAGGAAGAGTTATTGATATGATTAATCGAAGATCTTTACGTATGTATTAGATTTTTTCACTTCCTATTATAAATATCTTTACAATAGTAAAAAAATCAATATCGTCATAATAGTTCAATGAATCGGGAACATTTTTTTTCCATTGATAGTGAAGACATGAGAGTTTTTTTTTTCATAAGAAAACTGTCAATAGATGATTCTTGATCGTCCCTGTTCAGTTAAGGAGGGAGAGCCATTCCCTCAGACAAAGTTAATTTTGTGATTTATAGCTCATTACATAGAACAAAGTGTCTACTCTCGAATGCGCTATAGCTGATTGATTTTATGATGAGCTTTAAGGATATTATATAGATTTTTCTGAACCTTCATATTGAAAAAAAATAAGATTTTTTAAAAGCTTATTTTCCGTTTTTTCAAGTATACTGTTTGGATGGACAAACCTTACTCAATATAGAAGTGACAATTTTTTTCTATTGCATAAAGGACAGTGAGAGCTAGATCCTAACAGAGTCCGATTTTTGAATTTCTCTATTGGTAAAATAAAAAAAAACTTATATATGTCATTTTTATTAGCGATTTTTGTGGCCATGAATCCGAGAATTGTTCGAAAACGATTTTTTAAAAATAAACAAAGGGAGTTTTAAAAATTGGGCTCCGTAAGGATCTAGTCCTAAGGATATTCTGTAACTTAAAAATCGCTCCGGTATGTTAGCTCATATTCTAATTGTGAAAACCTTGCCCACGTACAGGGTACTTTTGATCAATAAATTGACTATAGCTCGTGACTATCTCGCAGATTTGGCAAGATATTTTAACTATAATCTACTCTAGCCAAGACTAAAATTCTTTGAAATTTTGGGTGAATTCCATGCAAAAAATAAAAAAGTTTGTTTGTGATGGGAGAGCTCCCTTTAAGATCATCAGCCATACCGACGAACCTCTTCAGTTGACTGTTTCTGATTTCAATGATCGTTTTTTTTTGCCTATAAATACTACATAGTGGTCTAATAAAAATCCTAAAAGGATTTAAGTTCCTATTGAGATTTGCCTAAGCTATCGAATTTGTTAATATGTCTATTTTCTGGAGATCCCAAGTTTTCAGAAAATTCGATCGGTTAGTCAAACTTCAATAGGACCCAAAATCATTGAAATCGAAAGGGTGGACAGCTAAAGAGGTTTTCTCGTTAGTTGAAGTCTTCTATGAATATGCCTACAGCTAATTTGTATACGTAATATAACTTTAAGATTGAACAGTACGTAGAAAAATGTGATTTAAATCATCATATCCAGATAATTTTGAACAGAGTACACGATTGTCATGGTCTCTCGTTTCTGCATACGACGGAGGTGTTTAAGTGGTCGAAGACGTTCAGAAGAAAAATGATATACTCACTTTCTATGAGGACTTTTAGAAAGAAAGAATCTAAAGTGATTTGAGTGGAAAAAATTGTTTTTGAAAAGAAAATAAAAATGATTAATCAGATTCTCAAAGATAGGAACTTCAAAAAACCAAAACTCTAAATTTTTTCAGCATCTAGAACTCTACAATGTTTCTTAGCTGACATGCAGCAATTTTATGAAGCCCATTAGAACCAATTTTTTTTTACTATTTCCGATGGAAAAGTCGGAAACGTCTCATTCTGTAGAGGATGGTTTACTCTAGCATTCTAGGTGCCAAAAAACTACGATTTAGGTTTTTCGAAGTCATTATCTTTGAAAATAAACTTTGTTGAATAATTTTCATATCCACCGTATATACTCTGATGTTTTATAAGGAAATAACGCTTAGGTTTATTGTAAATTTCAAGATTGATCTTTAGTGATAATCATGCTATAGAATGTTTGAGAATAATTGAAATCGTAACTATTTCTATAAATATACTTATTATTTTAATAAAAATCCTCAGCAAAACAAAATAAATATTGTCACATTGATGATTGCGTTTGTTACCAGAGTTCATCCGGACTCGAATGCTATTTGGTTATACATTGCTGATCAAAAATATAAGATCAACGTTTTTTTTTTACTACGATACCAAGCATTTAACTCAAATCAAAATTATGATTGCAATTGTCAATAAAGTTCTCGATCGCGAATGCATTCTACCTCAAAATTTTATAGATATAGTATCATCTTAATGAGTCCAAAATTCTGAATGAAAAGAGAAGTTGTCGTATTCCCTATGATTTTCTTTTGAAAAAGTTATCAACATTACAAAACAAAACTTATCATGCAGAAGAAAATAATACATTTGTATCTCTTTACAGTCCAGGAAACTTAATTTTTGTACACATTGCCCTTAGAAGCAATGTGTTCATTTTCATGTTGTTTTATTATTTAAAAAAAAAACCTAGTCACGATCATGGTCACACGTGATCATAACGGTCATGCAGTTCATTACGTTTATTGTATGTTAATTAGTTTTTCATAAAACTTCGTAGGAAAAAGA